CAGCGAGCGCGAGAATGACGTGGAGCCGCAGAGCCAATCAGCCATCCCCTCCCGACACCGCCCCTCGGAAGTGCTACGCGGCGGGAAGGAACCAATAAGAGCGCGCGCTCGGGGCACGTGCAGCTCTCGTGGGGCGGCATTGGCTGCCTCTGCGCGCTGGTTTCCTAGGCGATGGAAAGGGCGCGAAGAGCCGCGCAGCCAGGGCCGCGCTGGGCTCCGGCTCCTCCTCCGCCGCTCACGGGAGGCCTCGGGCCCTGCGAGCGGGGTCGCGCGGGTCCCCTCTGCGCTGGGGACGTTCCGTCCCGCTCGCGCAGCGTTCCGGGAGCGGAGATGGACGTGTCCGTGGGCGACGTGCGGAGCGTCCTTGCAGCCATGCAGAAGAACTTGGAGTGTCCCATCTGGTACGGCCGGGGAGTGAAGGGAGCCTCGCTGGAGAAGTCAACAAGTCTTCGGTTTATTTAGTTATTAAATTCCGGTTGTTTTCCCCTTTCTATTCAAGGATGTGGTAGGGGATGCATGTTGTAGAGTGTGCAGGGAGTTGATATTAAGAACAAGTCGATGCTCTGTAAGACTCAAGTGAGGAAGCGCAGGTGGTTTCAGAGAGCCCTGGGTCTGAGCTTTCCTTCGTGTGCACCCTAAGGGCAGTTTTTGTCGTTATAGCCTGAAAGTTATCCTATACATCCTACATCCAAACATCCTGTAACGATATTAGTAGCTGTACTCACTTCTCGAGTCAAAGTGGTCAGATGTGTTCTCTTCCCCACCCTGTCTTCTCTTTCCCCAAGTTTGACAAAGAGACTTCATTTTTAAATCTTATTTTGTTGCTACTGCTTCTTAAAATAACATCTGTGTTCTTTTTTTCCTCCTCCCATTTTCTTTTGGTAGTTTGGATGTGATAAAAGAGCCAGTTTCCACAAAATGTGATCACATATTCTGCAGGTAGGTTTGCAAACTTTCAACTCCAATGCTTGACCAATTTGTTCTTATTCACCACATATGCTACTTTTGTTTCTCTTTTTAACTGATAATGCATGCTGCGTTTTGATAAATTAATGTCTTGCCATTTCAAAATGCAAAATCCATTCAAAATAAGAAATTATTGTACAAAATATTGTGTTCACAGATGTGAATTTGTCCTAATTAATCCTGATGAATTCATCCTAGTACCAGAATGAGCATACAAGTATTCAATTTAATAATGAAGAATTGATGCTAAGTGGAGCACAGACAGGCATGTCTTTTAAGAAAATAAAATTCTTCTATTTAAGTTACTAACATGATTTTTTTCCTTAGGTTCTGTATGTTTAAACTCATAAGCAAAAAGAAAAAAGGTGTGATACAGTGTCCTCTCTGCAAGACTGAAGTTACCAAGAGGTAACGTATCTCTGGAAATAGCCTTAGTGATCAGAAGTATCTGTGTGATGTCCAAGACAAAGATCATTAATTGTCTTAAAGCTTTTTTAACTGCAAACTAAAACAAAGAAGGATGATTGTATAACAAAATGTTAACATTTTAGCATTTTTAGTGTTTTTCTTCTCTCTCTCTCTTTTTTTTTTTAAGATCACAGGTAGTGACATTTTTCATAATATTTTTCATACGATGAGTTCCTTTCTGCCAAGGCTGTGTGAAGAAAAATACAAAGAAGTATTCACTTTTTGATGAATAATGTTTTAATTCAAATAGTAATGGCTGTTGGAGGGAATTGTACTGATATTCCTTGGTATCAATTTGTTATTGCCACATCTTCCCCTTTAAAGGGGGGATATATGTATAAAATATATATATATTGCTTTTGCTTAATCTAAATTCTAGGAGAAATATTAGTAACTTACCCATAGATTTATTTTAGAAACATCTCATGTGGTGTTGTTATTTCAGAAGTCTTCAGGAAAATTCTAGATTTAAGCAACTAATAGAAGGATTGTTGGAAACTATCCATGCTTTTGAACTGGACACAGGAGTGAAGTGTAAGTGTTATTTGTATAAAGTATTGGCAACTTAGACACGTGCTTGTTTATATTTTGGAAAATGTTCATTGTTTTTCATGGCAAGGAGGATATTTTGCTATAAAAACTAGACTTTCCTCATTCTTTTGAAAGTTTTTTGGAGAAAAAAAAAGGCTTTACTATTTTATTTGTGTAATAATAATTGTAGTAATATGTTTAGTTATATATACAAAATTATAACTTAACCAAATATCTTTCAGGACTTCTATGATACTCTTTTAGCTGTGCATGTGCTAGCTATCCGGGTTTTATATAAGATTGTTTTACGAATATATAATAGCTGTTGTCATGCTCAGTGTAAGAATATATATTCTACTCTCATTTTTCAGTTCTGAACAGTCATCACTTTTCTAAAGCATCCATAGAAGTCAATTCTGCTAAGGCCATGTGTAAGGAAAGTTCTATCATCCAAAGCAGGGGTTTCAGAAACAGGAAAGCAAGAGCTAAAGAAAATACACAAGAAACTTTTACCTTGGTAATCCTTCTTTTACCTAATTTGCTTTTGTATATTGCTAGGTGTTTTATTTGGAATATGCATAAATATATGTTTATAAAGTAATAAAATGGGTGAATATCTTTTAGCTTCCTTTTGGATCTCTATTTGACTTGAGTATTACTCCTTGACAGGGACCTCTGAATATCTTGCCTTCCTTTTGCAAACCTACTTTTAAAGTTGCTCACACAGAGGACTTAAGGGAGGAAAAAAAGAGAAGATAGTAAGAGAATAATATGGACGTATTGAAATGAGGGTTGAGAGGAAGGGATCTCATGAGATCACATGGTCCAAGCCCCCTTCCTCCCTGCTCACAGGATGGCTGAGGTTGGAAGGGACCTGTAGAGATCATCCAGTCAGGGCTCAAGTAGGGGCAGATACAACAGGCTGCCCAGGGCTTGTCCAGTTGGGTTTTGAGTATCCCCAAGAATGGGGATCCCCAGATTCCCTCAGCAACCTGTCTCAGGGTGCAACCCACTCACACAGTAAAGAATTGTATGTATGATGTAATATTCTGTGTTTCTATTTGTGCCCATTGTCTCTTGTCCTTTTGTGATACCACTAAGGAAGGTCTAGCCTTTTCCTCTTTACACTCTTCTATATTTAAAATACATATACATTACAATATGACATAGCATATTGTATTTGCCGGCATTTATATGTTGTCTATAATATTGCCAGTAAATGTTAGTAAGTATTACTTTGTATTTTTCTGTCTGCAGGAAGCTAATGCAGATCCACAACTTAGAGATACCAGGGTCAAAAGGCATCCCTTGCGAAACAGAAACCCGGAATGTGGCCCTGATACAGGGATCTATATAGAGTTTGGTAAGAGCTGCTGTGGATACACAACAGCAGAGCTTTTCTGCAATACTTGCAAAGAAATGAAAGGTGATGAAACTCAGTTTTGATGTTGTGGGTTTTTTTGTTTAAGTCTCCAAATGGAGTCCTCCCCAAAGGAGAATACATGGACATTTCAAAGTTTGTAAACTGAAGGTTTTACTGATTTTCTTATACTGTGTAACACATCATCATAGGAAATATTTAAGCATCAATGTACAAGACCCAAAAAGAAGAGACTTATAGATAGGAAAGTAGTTATACTGTTGTAACTAATGATAAACAGCATTTACTAAAGATAATTAAACTTTATTTACGAGGACTTGAGACTGTGTTTAACAATCCCGGGGTGGGGGCGGGGAGAGAGATTTAATGGAGAAAAATTTTAACTACTCTTTTCTCATTCAAACTTTTTTTTTTTTTTTTTTCTGTATTTAGTGCAGACAGTATCTGGTGTGAACTTCTCCTTGAAACAGGATAGGTGCTGTCAGTCACAGGATCAGAGCTAGAGCTCCATTCTATCACTTTCTGACTGAGTTCTAAATTTTAAATAAAAGCAACAATTTTCTGTATCAAGTGAGAAACTAGAGGTTAATTCTTAGTTTTCTCTGTTACTATTTACTGTAATAAACAACTCTGGAAAATAAAGGATTTTATGCTGGGGCTATGTGATGCTTATACATAGAATTCACTATAATTAGATAAAATACTATGCTGGTATTTTGCCTAATCACCAGTACTGAACTATTTTTCAAAAAGAACTGAGCATACATGTTTCTGTGATAACAGACATTGAATTTGACAAGTCATTTGTCTCGAGTCTTTCCAACAAGAGTAACAGCTGATTTATTTTTAGGCTCTGATTCATCTGAAGAGCTTTTCAAACAGGCAAGCAATACTGGGTGAGTAATGGTGATTAAGCAATTCATATTTTCTAAAGACCACAGTTCAGAATTGTGGTTGCTATGCTTTAGCTTCTTAGCATAGGGCAAAGAATTCTCCAAGATCTTAAATGGTTTTAAACTTGGAGTGTATTAGAGTAGAATGGGCAGCTGACACCCTTCAGTTTGTTTCATGATTTACTTTCCAGCTATTTTATAAATGTTTTGTCACATACATAGATGCTATAGTATCTGGAGGAATAGATACGCAGTATGCTTTAGAAAATACACACCTTCCTGAATTTAGTGTTTGGGGGGGAGGTTCTTTAAACAAATGATCTCTGAAGGAATCTGGTTTGGCAAGTGTCATTTTTGCATAATTATTTTTACTCAGCAATCCAGTTTCTCTGAAACCTGTTTCCAAGAGCAAAAAGGGAAAATTGAGTATTATCTGCTATTATGGCAAGTTGTGATTGGCCTTCTAATGCAACTAGAACTTTTTTCACAATCCTTCCCAGCAGGCTAGGAGAAAAAGTGCTTCGGATTTCATCGCAAGAAAAGCCAGAAGAACTTAAGAGTTCTGAGAAGGCAAAGGAATATTCCTGCAAAATACAGCCTATCAAGCTGCATGCCAAAGAAGTAATTCTGTCAGATGTTATAGGTGTGTTCATCATTTCTATGACAAAATTATCGAGATGAAAACCTGAAAGAAAGATCTTAAGATAGAATCTTAATTCTTACATTATTTTGCAGTCCTGTATCCCGTGCTTTTATTGATGCCTACAACTAGTGACAATGTAGTATGAGACTGTGCCTGTAGATTAGGCAGTTAAAATGTGGGCATTTTGTGCACAGAAATTGAGTGGGGGGGGGAAAAAAAAAGTCACTAAAGTGCAAAACTGATTCCGTCCTGTCTAGGCCAATATATTATCCCTCATAATACCTGTTGTGACCAGTGCCTGGCAATTCGTGCAAGGAGTTGGAGGAAGTTGTATGTAATTTGGTCTTTCTTTCTCTAGAGGGAGGATTGTGTGCAGGAAGGTATTCTGTGTTTTGGGGGTAGAAGGACCATAACAAAACAGTTCTTTAGAAGTTGTTAAAAGTATTGTAAAACAATAGAAGCCGTTAAGCTTATTATTCTTGTGTACCTTAGAATAGGGTTTAATAATTTTCAATACTTTTATGTCTTTAGGTGAAAGAGGTTCCTTAAAGGAAGATTTGATCAAGAAAAGCACTGAGAACATTACTGAACATGCCAAACCTGGCCAAGTGAATGTGACTGAAAGCCAGAGTTCTCCTTTAAATGTTCTTGCTGAAGAGTTATTTGAAGAGCAGTGTGAGAAAGGGGGTAGCCCACTGAGGAAAGGGGACGAATCTTTCCTTAAAAACACAGAAGAAATGGCTGCAGAACAAACTCAGTGCAATAGTAAAAGCAAAGAGCCTGACTTAGAAGATAACTCAGAAATCAAGCTTGATAAAAGCAAGAAAATAGATATTGTTGAGCAATGTGTGGAAGATGTGGAAATGTATGAACCTGAGAATGATTCTTTTCCTGAAGAAGAACCTCTGGAGAAGCCAGAGATGCCTCACAGTGATACCCTGGATCAGGTTTCTAGGAAGAGACTAAAGCAAAGCATTCAGAAAGTTAATGAATGGTTTTCAAAAAGCAATGAGATCCTGTCTTCCAGCTCTTCCCAGGATGATCCTGGTGAAGCAACTGATGCTTCAGCTGAAGAAGATGCTTGTTTATCAGATAAAGATTCCTTTATTTCAGAGAAGACTAACCGTATGGTAAATTGCATGGAAATTACCTTCACTGAAAAAGACAAGAAATTGTCAAAACCAACAGCAGATAGCATGAAAGACAAAATATTTGGAAAAACATACAAGAGAGAGAGGAAGTCAAATCACTGTGTTGTTTTGAGAGAGATTTTACCTATTGCAAAAAATGAAGATGTGGCTGCTGATGAAAAATGCTTGAACAATTCTAGAATGGACAAGCTAAAACGTAAAAGGAAGACTGCCTGTGGCCTGCAACCTGAGGACTTCATCAAGAGAAAAGATCTGACAGAGGCAGATGGCCCTCAAACTGTTAACTTGTGCCTTGGAAAGGCTGAAAATAAAAAACATGACGAAAATTCTGCTGTTAATGAGAGTTCTGTGACTGAGAAGAGAGAGGATACTACGCCAGCAGAACCTGGAGAAGGAGAATCCATATGGAAAAGTGCTACTGAAAAAGTGACTGGTGAATCTAATGGAGTGCGAGAATCAAATGACTATGATCAGAAGAGCTCTAAAAAACCAAGTTCTTTATCAAAAAAATGCAGGCATTCAACTAGAACTATGCATGCTCTACAGTTAGTAGTTGGTAGAAACTCGGGCTCCCCTGATCCAGCTGAGCCACAGATTGATAGCTATCCAAGCAGCAATGAGCCAAGCAAAGGTGGTTCTGAGCACAGGCAAGTCAGGCGCAGCAGGAGGCTTCAGTTACTTGCTGAAGAAATGACAAAAGATACAGGAAGGAGGAGGACTCTAACAGAGGGAGCGAGGAAGGATGATGGTGGAAGCGGGGAGCCTTTCTCTAGGGTGCAAAGGAATGTATTGGTTCACTCTTCTGAATGCAGAGACCTGGATGAGCAGCAGGATACAGTGAGTTATAGGCCAGCTGCTAATCTGAAGAGCACTGATCAGGAAGCTGATGAAATACAGACTAGTCTAAAGAATTCCTCAGACACTGGAAGAAGTCTCTTCAATCCTACGTCTTCATGTCAGTATTCACATTTGGGTTCTGTGGTACCTGATACAGACCCTCAAGAAGGTGAAATGCTAGGTAGCCCTTTCCCCTTTCAGCCTTCTTCAGTGAATGCTGTGCAAACTGCTTCGCAGGTGACCAAAGAAAAGACAACTGAAGTAAACACTACTTTTCCCCAGAAAAGCAGACACTGTACAGATAACGTCCCAGAGGACTTGAGAAATGAAAATGTTTTGGAAGTGACCAAGGAAGCTGAAGATAGTGAATTAGATACACAGTATCTGCGCAATATATTTAGGCATTCAAAACGACTATCATTTACCCTTCATCCTAGTCCCCTGAAGGCACATGCAGTAGAGGATGCTGCTTCTGAAACATTAAAGATGGTGTCTACTGATCAGGTAGAAAACAAGCATAGCAAATATTTAAAAACAGATCATTTTCAAGTAGAGAAAACAGCTTCTGAAAATTTGAGTGAGGTCTGTGAGAAAGAAAAGCTTAACACCTGTGAATCTGTTTGTGTTAGTCCTGTACCTTGCTATGTCAGTAACACTGAATGCATGCGCACTGGGGAACATCCAGAAAGTGTTTTACAGGTTGCAGATCGAGGGAATCTGACATCACAAGTAAGGGCAGATGCTACTAGGGTTGAGAATAAAAACAAACAGCAAAAAAGAGAACAGGCAAATAATAGGACAGTGTCAGCAGATAGAGCAATAGAAAGTGACGTAAGTCAGAATCCATTCAAAAGTAATAGAAGCCAAAGTGATCAGAGCAATACAGAAGAGCATGCTTTCCAAAGAATAAGTACAGTTAACGAAATAGGTTTCAGTTCAGAAAGTAATCAGGCAGAAAAGATGGAAGTTGCTGAAAGCCAGGGACCAGTATTAGACTTTCAGCCCACATCGGTGGTTTGTCTTGCTGAATTTAACTGCAAAGGGGTGGAAAAGAAAGATAGCAAAAGAGAAATAAAACAATCAAAGAGCAATGAAGAGCAAGCAACCCAAAGTACCAGCACAGGGATGCCAGAGTGTTTAATTTCAGATGCGCTAGAGCAGCCTCTTAAAGGTAGTACAGATTTTCCAGGCCTGTCTGAAACCCCTGATGGATTACTTTGCTCTGATGATGATATTCAGGAGAGCATCAGCTTTTGTGAAACTGAGAGGAAAGAGAGATCTGCTGTGTTTGTTAAAAGAAGTGACAGCATCCCGGTAAAACAACTGGATGAAGGAAGTGTTAGTTCTGCACTTCTGTCTCAAGGTATTCGGAGATCTCGAAGAAGAGTGCAGAAACTGCAATCTTCAGAGGAAGAATCTAGTGAAGATGAAAATTTACCTTCTTTTCACGAATTAATATTTGGCAAATCAGCAAGCACACCTTTGCAGCTCAATAAACAGGTGACATCCGTGATAGGGTCCTCAGTAAGTCCCAGCATGCTGCCTCACGTCGAAAGTCATCGTGACTGTAGTAAGCAGAAGACCCCTGAAGCTGCCCTAAGTACTGTGTGTGTTTCTCCAAGCCAGGAGTCCGAGTGTTCCGTTAATTTATTTTCTTCCCAGTCCAACGTGTCTGAAGAGTCAGGTGGTGGAGTACAAGAACTGAAGAAATCTTCAACACTTGTTCTTGGATCCAAACAAATGAACAATTGGAATGACAGTAAAGAAACTTCTCAAAGTTGTAATGAAGGGCTAAAGAAAAAAAATAACCTGGAAGATGAATACCAAGAAGACCCGAGGATGGGAGCAAACCTAGGTATAAAACAAGATTTAATTTATTTCTCTGCTTTGTTCTGCTTTTAAATGGAGCTGCTTCTTGTGAAGAAAAATACCAGCTCTAAGCAAACCCCTCAGTGGTTTATTCCCAAAAAGTTACATTTCCCTAGTAATATTCGTTCCATTTACTTTGCTGTATGTGTCTGAAGGCATTCTTTAAAATGTTCACCTGAAATAGATCTATGCTTCCATGTTAAGCATTATTGAAACTTGTGAAATGTTGTATTTATAGCTAACAGTTGGTAAAATAAGCTGTGCAGTAAAAGAAATTCTTGGTAACGCTTGTTTGGTTTTCTGTTTTTTGTTTGTTTTAACTAACCTTCGGATTTTCTTCTGCCTCCTTCAAGGTGAAGCATCTGGATATGACAGTGAAACAAGTCATGTAGAGGATTCAACTGGACCGTGTTCTCAGAGTGAAATCCTTACTACACAGGTGAATGAGTTCACGCACTGAATTGTGCAGTTTTGTGCGTAACTACAGAATATAGTTAATGCACATTTTTGGTATGATTTGCCAGTTTGGATTCTTGGATAGAGTGCACAAAAGCTGTGAAGTCAACATGGTAGGAAACTGCTTTCAGCATCATTCTTTCTGTAGCTGGGTTACTTCCCAGGGTGTTTTTAACACAGAAATAGCTCTGCAGCTCTTGTTATCTGTCCAACTTTCTGATGACTATAACTTTTTCTATGGTTCTGATTATGATGTTTGAGTTATTACTGAACTTAATAGCCACAATTAATTGATGCTGGAAACCTGTGCTTTTGATATTTTAGGCTTAATTGATGAGAATTTATAATCATTTGTGTTAAGGACTGGATTTCCAGTGTTACTGTTTTTAGAAGTATGAAGTCTTGCCTTCTGAGTAAATCAAACAATTCTGTATTAGAATATTATGGATATAAGACCATATGGATATATGGATATAAGTGATGTCCAATGGAAGGTCTGTTCAGCACTATATCTTGTCTCTGGTATTCATTTCCTGTTCAATGGCCTGATTTTATGTATTAGCTGACTGGTATTTTTTATTGTTCATATATCTTATCCTAAATCTCTCTCTCTTCACAATATATATTCTGATGGGGTCTTATGCATTTCAGAGAAGACTACATCTTTCTCCTTTGTGGGTAGCTCTTCTGTACTGCATCAGTGCATTACTCCCTGAAGTAGCTTCATTGCTAGAGATTCTAGCATTTGTCTGGCTTACATAAAACAATGTCAATATGGATTTCTTTTTGTTTGGTGGATTGTTTTTGCATTGATTCAGTAACAACAAAGTTCCACGTGGTGTCAGTGCTGGAGCTAAAAGTGTTCTGCTGTAGAAACCACTTTATTTAGTATAGTGAACACTTCAGGTTTTAAAAAAGATACCTTGAACTGCTGTGTACATATGAGGAGCTATAGGCATATTTTTTAGTAGACAGTACTGTAGTTTTCAGAGATCAGAGTTAACAGAGTATGATGAAATACTTTGTTTAAGCAGCCTTCATGACAATCAGTAATTATGGAGAGTGCAAGGACTCAGTACTTGATACTCACTATTCATTTCTACATTAACCAGCTAATGCAATTGGAGCTAAGTGACTTTGAAATAATTTTTGGCAAAGTTCCTTTCGACCAACCCCCTTAACCTTTATTGGTTGAACTGTGATAAATTTAAACTGAAATAATTTGAACAGCAAAATGACTGTTTCTTCTTTTGATGTATCATGTGTTCATTACAGTAAAAATGACCTCTAAAGACGTGTTAAAGAATTAATTCAAAATCCTTTTGCTGTATATAATTTTCAAGTGTTTGTTACAAAAAAAAAAACATATTCTAAAGGTCAAAAACAAGGTGGCTAGTGTTGACAATCTTGTATCTTTTACAGCAGAAGAACGCTATGCAAAACAACCTCAAAAAACTTCAACAAGAAATGGCTGAACTTGAAGCAGTGCTAAAGCAGCATGAAAGTCAGGATTCTGAATTTTTACCTGTACATAAGGAACTGCCACCTTGCAGTAGTGAAGGAGCACTCAGTACCAAACAGATGAGACAAGTAAGAGGTAAATAGCAATGAAAACCTTTCTTAGCTTTCTGACTGAAAACCATGAGACTGTTCCTTTTTTCCTTTATCACAAATTTCAATGCTGATTTAAAAGTAATACATTAGCAGAATTTTACCTAAATTCAGCCCTTCAGCGAGACAAACCTTTTTTTTAATTCATGACTTAGGCACTGCACAGCTTAAGCTCCTGCCGTGTTACAGATTTGTGTAAGATTATGGCTATTAATTTTTAAGTGGTTTGACTAGGCATTGTGGCTTGTCAGTACCAATCCATGTTGCTGCTTTGTCATTTCCAGTTCCACTGTCTCTCCATTCTTCCTTGGAATGGGTAAGGGGCCGGGAGAGTAGCTGAACTCTCAAAAGGATATAGCCTCCCATTGCTGTAGTAGGAATTGTCTTTTAGCATATCAAAGAACAGACAAAAATTAATTTGTGTGCATTGGCTGTCAGAAGTAATTTAATACAGGTCAAGCTCCTGATGGGCAGAGAAGAAAACAGTTAGTGGCGTGTAAATTCTCTGAGTGGGACATGAACACAAAGTTGGTGATTGGAGAGTACCTAAGGCAGTATATAAAGACTGAAAGATGCTTCAGGAATCACCAAATTGCATATTGAGGATAGAGTGAGTTGCTACTTGCTATGTAAGCAGTAGTGAGAGGGCTTTATTTAAGATTTTTGTTTGTTAAGGCAAGAAAGAAATACTGAGATTGAGTCTGGGAGCTATTACAGGATAGAGCATGGAGCATTCTTCAAAGTCTAGAAGTCTAGAAATTCACTGCTGAAGTAGAATCAGTGTTCTAGGAAGTCACCAAGTGCTGATTAAAGATGTCATGCTTACTGAACTCTTAGGCTGCACCAGTGCTTTGCTGTCCACATTACTGCTAAGCAAAATACAATTCTATTTCTAGGGTCTTGTTTCAGTCTGTTATCTTGCTGAGGACAACTAGAATAATTGATCGTCCTGAAATTCAAAACTATTTTGTATTTTATCATGCCTTTAAGGGTTTTGGTTTTCGTTGTGGGGTCTTTTCATCACCACTGTGTGGGTTAGTCAAATATGAAAACAACCTGCAGTTGCAGTTGCCTGTTGGAAGCTGGCAAAGTACAGTGTGATGTGTGAGACCTTTAGACTTTATCTTAGCATTTAAAAAAAAAATGTTAGTATGGTGCAACGATACAAATGGCTCTGCTGTTTGTATCTTAGTAAGTTTGTTTTTGTTATCAGTGAGAAGCTTGTGCATGACAAACAATAGGTTCTGTTGCTATGGTAGTGGTTTAAAATACATTTCCATCACTGTATTTATTCTATATTATCAGGTTACTAGACAGTGAAGACTGAAGTCTTTTTTTCAGTATGCAGCAGCATGCGAGTCTTGTTCAGTTCAAGATTTTTCTTTAAAGCTCCAGCTAATTCCTGGTTTGTTTGTACCCTATAGTTTCTTATACACAGAGGCTTAGAAAGCTTGACTTTAGAATTTGTGTGACCTAGTTTTTAATGGTTTTGTGGTGTTAGATAAGGTCAACCTCATCTGTAGTGTTTGTTGCTTTGTTTTGTTTTTTTCCTTCCTTTTTAAACAATGAAGAAATAGTTAAGAACAATTGCTTTTATTTTGCTTAAGAACTCCTCCTCTTTTTTAAAGGCACAAAGTCAACCTCAGAAGTAAATTTGGCAAATAAGAAATGCAGCAGTTCAAAGCAATTTTCACCTGATTTTCCTGTTAAGTCAACTGATTCTTCCAACAGTAAAATCAAAGAGCTAGAAGAAGGGTAAATGCTTTTTAATTTGTTTGTATTTATGCTCTTGTATTAGAAAAAGAAAAAATTTGAAACCAAATTCTCTAAGATTTGGAAAATCTGCATGAATTTACCTGTTACTATAGTCTTTTGATACTTAAAAGAGTTTTTCTTAAAAAAAGAAAACAAACAAAAAAAAACAAAAAAAAAAACTAATTTCCCTCTCTCAATGTCTCCAGTACTACTGCTTCCTCCTCCTGAATCTTCTTCCTTAAACAGACTGGATCTTGAGGAAAGCCTTCATTGTGACAATGTTCTTCAGAACAAAGCTCCTTCTCGAGAGAAGAAAGCCCTGCCAGAAGCAGTGAAAGAGCGTGATCCATGTCAGGCTGAAGCAGGTGACACTGAAAATGGATTTAATACAAATTTTGCTGTGATTTGATTTTGCTTTGTTTTCCCCTTTTTTCCTCATGTTTCTGGTATGCTTCAGATGCCACGTTTGTTTATTTTCTTGTTTTTTTTTTATTATTATTTTATTATTTCTGATTTACTTTGATTTGTTTGGTTTCGTTTGACTATCTGTTTAAATGTGCAGCTGCCAATAGGATGGGGCTAGACAGTATTTTTACAGTAATAGAAGTTATTGTTTGTCTCATAAATCAGCACTTCTTGCAGGTTATACTGCTAACAGTTTCATGGTATTCTAGTGCTTCGGTATAGTTCAGAAAAAAGGTAATGATAAAAGCAAAGGTGAAGCTGTAAACAAATAAGCAGAAGAAAAAAGTGCAGCCTATAAACTTAATAGGTGGAGCCAACTGCCTTCCAAAATGACTACAAGTAATGTGAAGATATTTCAAGGAGTCATTCCTCTCTTTTCCTGTAGAAAATGCAACTGACGGGAAATCTGGGAGCAAGAAAACCAGTCCATCTGTCTTACCAAATCTCTGTGGACATGTGAGCAGAAGTCTAAACTGCTCTTCCTCCTCCAAAAGGCTTCTCTGCCCTCCAGCTACAGAAGCAGCAAATAGTTCTTCTGTAGCCCAGAATGCCAACAGAAGCTGTACTCAAGGATGTAAAGGGAAGAGAAATGTGTGTTTTCCCAGCTCTGTTCTGCACAACGCATCTGGGAAAGAAAATGCTACAAGTCCGGTTGGGAGTAACCGGAGAGAAATGTCAATTGTGGCATCAGGTCTCAATCAAAGTGAACATGTAAGTATATTTCAAAATTGTTCAAGATCTCATGTTAATCATGCCTGATGACTACTATAGTCCTGAAGAAATGTTTAGTTTTAGCATAGAGATCTAAGTAGAAACTAATCTTACAGGAATTATAGATCAGTAATACAGCAACTCAGATTAGATTTTCAACTTTAACTGCACTAATTGTATGCACAGCAGATATAACTAAGAAGGGAATAACATTGAAAACCTTTTGTGTATTAAAATGAATTAAATTTACTATGAAAGCTTCTGACAAATGTACATAAATACATAATTAACTCCGAAACTTACATTAGATTGATCTCAGCTGCTGCTGCTTTATCCAAACCCTGCTCTGTAGTAAATACTCCAGTAATTATTCATTTCCAAATCGCTAATGATGCTGGTAAGAGGTATTGTCATTAGTCACTGTAGCTTATTATTTCTTGAACCATTTGGTCTTCTGCATAAGGCAACACAAGAATAACACTGTTGTGTGGTTTGTTTGTTTGTTTTTGTTTTTCAGTTGGTGGTCCAGAAGTTTGCCAGAAAAACTGAGAGCACTTTATCTAATCACATGACTGAAGGAACAACCCATGTCATAATGAAAACAGGTTTGAATGCTGCCTTAGTTTCCTATTTTATTCCAAATTTTGAAAAGAAACAATGGTCTGTAATAGAAGATTAAAAATGGTACTTAATTGTATGTGTACTTCTCATGGTACCTGATAGGGAAGGCATGCTTCCATAGAAACAGTGCAGCATTACCTTTTCACTGTAACAATTATTTGCATGTTTACGATACCTAAATCATGTTCTTCTTAAGACTTATGAATCCTATTATTAAAAGTTGAAGAAACTTTATCAAACTAAAATACGATACCACTGTTCTAGACTTGGCGAATGTATTGTGTTCCTAAATGAGTAGTGAATACTGCCTAGGCTTCAAAGAAGTCTAATATTTCTCAGTAACACTAAGTTAATTAATTCTAAGTTTAAACATTAAGTCTAATCATAGCTTATATTTAAGTTCATTATTGAATATATCATTAGCTTTTGTACAAAAGCTTTGAGAGAGAGAGGCAATATCCTGGGAGTGAATGTGCTATATAACTTTACTTGCATCTTGCTCATAGAAGCACCTGTGGATGGTGTATGTTTGGATATGATCTACTGCATGAGCCTTTCTTGCTTTTGGGAACTGAAGTAGAAAGGCAGCCAGAAAGTTTTCTTGCTTCCAATGTGCGGATGGACTCAATTTTGTCTTCAACAAACCTATCATAAACATCATGTCCATGTGTTTTAGAGAGATGGATTGTGCTCTTCAAGTGCCCTCCTGAGTCTGCTAAATGGCATTTGTATGAATTTCCCAGCCTTTCCATCTATGACTTGGCGTATTTGGCTTCTGCACTTCGTCTTTCATGTTTAGGTAGAAACTGTCTGGAGTTTTTCCTTGTTGGTAAAACTGAGAGATCTCCATATACTTGTTTGCTCTGCAGATATGGAGCTGGTGTGTGAGCGGACATTGAAGTATTTTCTGGGTATTGCAGGAAGAAAATGGGTTGTTAGTTATCAATGTAAGTATAACTTAAGTATCTTTTCATGTCTCGAATATGCTGGCATCTGATATTTTGCAGTTTCATGTAAACACTTATTTTTTTTTTTTTAACAGCAACACAAACTTATTTCTTCTCTGAATACTTCTTCAGCTTTAAAATAACCATATTTAGTTGTTCTTCTCCCCCTCCTAATTTAAACATCTGAGTTGCATGCCATCAGTTAATGCAAAATTACTATTATTTATGAAAGATTAAAAAAAGTACTTTCAGGCACCATAGAGTATTCAGTTAAAGTGTTTCATTTAATGCAAAATACTTTGAATTTAATATGGTAGTGAAGCTAGGCTATTGGCAATCGAAGAACAATTTTGCTGGATAAAATGACTTGTCCTATTCTGATCTTTTTAGGGATAATTCAGTCTTTTAAAGAAGGAAGGATACTTGATGAGGTAGGTCTTTTATCTTAAGAGTGAATTGTCTGTTGTTTAAAAGGTGTTGTTACAGTGGTAGACCTATTCGTAGTCTCAAACATTGTTCAAGTATTTAATACATGGCAACTGGGAGGTGTTTGCGCTAGTTAGAAATTAACCTCTGAAACTGAGATCCTACTTTAGCAAATGCTAGGACCAAAAGCTGTGTTTCCAGTTCTGAAAGCCAACAGCTTCCAGGGCTGATCAGGGCAGTCTTCTCAATCTCTAGCTTCTGATTGTTTCTATTTTGTTGCAGGAGAACTTTGAAGTTAGAGGAGATGTGATCAATGGGAGAAACCACCAAGGGCCAAGGAGGGCTAGGCAATCTCTGACTGAAAAGGTAGGAGCGTAACAGGGACAAAAGCCTTGTCCTGCCTTAACTGTTGCAGATACGAGGCTATGGTAGCTGAATTTCAGGAACTAGAGATTCATCTGCTGCACCATATCTACAGTGACTATCTTTCATGGATAAAAGTGCTTAAGTTACTCTCTATGCAGTGAATCATGTATATATGTGTGTATATATGTGTGTGTGTGTGTGTATTTGACATCCTTATAGAACCACCAGGGGAGGGGCAGGTGGGAAGATTCTTCTATTTTGTAGGCTACAGAAAGTTTCAGATATGCTTTGTGAATCAACAGTGATAACTTGGTACCTAGACTTAGAAGCATAGTGAGCCAACATGTTAAATATGTTCCTTTCTAGGACAACATGTACTCTGTTATCATGTCTTTTATTTTTCAGATCTTCAAAGATTTTGAGATCTGCTGCTATGGACCTTTCACTGATATGACTACAGGTAATATTTGCTGAAGTTTGAATGAACTCAGCATGACAAGTATTTGGAGGGGAATTGTGTGCATTCTCCAGAGTTTTGAATCTGACCTTTTCTTGGACACTCATGTACCTCTTTTACACCAAAATTTTCAAAATACCTACATGAGGTACAGCTCTGTATCCAGTTCTGTCTCAGGTAGCTGTGGTATGTGGTATGGAATTTCATTGTACCTTTGTTTGCCTGCTGCACTTGTCGATCCCATCATGATATTGTTACCCTTGCTGAAAAACCTCAAAGTAATTGTTGCCCTCAACAGGTTAGAGAGTGAAAGGATATATTCTCTGCTAAAGCCTACGTATTTTTGGATGAAATGTTTGTATTTTGGAACAAAGGCATGGATGATTAGGACTTAGGGAACAGTATGAGTATGAACGTTATCTAAACCACTGTAATAACATACTCTTGATTTGTTCAGAGCATCTAGAATGGATGGTGGAGCTCTGTGGTGCCTCCATAGTGAAGGAACTTCATCTGTTCACACACAAAACAGTAAGTGTTAATGAAGGTTACACTCAACTATAAACCATTCGCTGTCCTTAATACCTGACATGTTGAAAGATTGCATGTCTTTCATGGCTTACCAAAGACCAGTGCCCACAGGTGTGTTGTGTGAGAGCTGCTTGCCCAGCAGTGTTGCCAAATGGCCTGGCAGCAAATCTCACATTCTGGGCTCTGGCTACTCTGTTAAGAGACAGGCTAGATTTTTGGAGAACTGGTCAGAGTACTCTGTGGACAGAGTCGCATAACTAATTTCCTTGAAATTGGCACTGAGCTCCACTTTCCAGAGGAGAAAGCTTTTAGTGCCTTAACACAGGACAATCTTTGCAGAAAAGTATTCCTAAACTGATGTCCCTCTCCCCCTACAACCATTGAAGTCCTCTTCAAAGGAGTACAGTGAAGAGTACAGTAAGGTTAATCTGGTTACTACTCTGCAGATAGGTAGGAGTTATTTATTGTGAAAAAAGTAGCAGTAGCATTTTTTATTATTATTTTCTTGAAATCCTAGAATTGTACTGCTGTTGTGGTTGTGCAACCAGATGCTTGGATGGAAAACACAGGCTACAAAGGTAAAACAACATATACATATGCTGTTTTATGGTACACATGTTGAATGATTTATCGCTTCTGTGTTCGTAGTATTTAAATGTCAGAAAGATTCTGCAAGGGAACTGGAATAAAATACCACAATATGTGAGGGTGGAGGAATGTCTTGGAAGAAGTCTGAAGGACAAACTGAAGTCTGAGGGGACAAACTATCTTTATCTTGGGAGTCAGTGAAAGGTCCTGAAAGGTGTCAGGCAGTATCACAGCTTGTTATGATGAGATGTAAATGTGATCCTATTGTCCATATGATGCTTGTTCAGGTGTCCTGCATATACTCAGCTTAACAGGAAGTTTTCTGGCAGAAAGACTTCAGTAATGTTGTGGTGCTTCTCACTGACGCTCATTGTTTGTCATATTTGGTATGCCTGAGCAGGCAGAAACTGCGACTCAGACACCAAGATCCTGAATTAAACTATATCAAAGCTTGTACTCTTAGAGCTTATTCTGTGGCCTTCAAAACTTCCTGCTTGACTACTTGCTAAACAGCCGTTTTCAGTAGAGCAGCTATGTTGCTTGCATTATTACAAAGTATAGAGTTTTTAGAATCTTGCATTTTATCAAGGCTTTGAAAATGTGAAAGATAAAGCATATGACTTAATCTGGAAGACATCAGTATGGTTTTACTGTGTGTGTCTGTCTTGCAGCAATCCAGCAAAAGAGCAATGTTGCTGTGGTGACTCGAGAGTGGGTGTTAGACAGCGTTGCTTGCTATGAGTGCCAGGAGTTGGATGCTTACCTTGTGTCTTAAGGGTGATCTACACTTCGTTTTGCCATTGTTCGGAAATTTTCATCACTTCTGGTACTTTGATACTGGTTTTATGGATAAAGTAACATTTGCAGAGTTTATCTTTGATTCATGTTCTTGTTTTGGAGTAAAACTACATTTTTGTAAACAATGAAATTATTTAAATGGCATTATTATACAAAGGTGGAATTGCCTACTCAAAAGAGTATTTCCAACTTCAAATAGTCCTTAAGCTCACCTGATACAAATCAATTAAATTAGAAACCAACTATAACAGTTAGAATGGGGCCTCCTGAGAGATACCTTGATGCTTACTTACCATCCCACTTTGTTCCTGTTTGTATATTTGAGAACATTTTGGAGTCAGTCACTTACAAGACTTACATGGGGCTAAGGGCTTGAATTAAAATGGAACTTGCATCACTGAGTGAGTGACAGTGAGTTTGGAAACTGTGCAGAGAACTCTCCTGTTGAAACTGTTGTATACAAAAGTGTCCACATGTTCTAACCAGAAAAATAATCTGAAAGTTCCCTGAAAAGCCAATACTTGATTTTTCGTATAATCCAATCCTCAAACCACAAGTCTAAACAAATATTGTGTCAGTCTTAATTCTGAAGAGTAGGTGGAACCTATGAAGGGGATACTGAACAGATGCAATTTAGTATCCCAGTGACCTATAATAAGCCCTAAAAGAATTGATTCTAATAATCCCTGCCTGCAAAATGAGACCACATAGAAAATATTATATTACTTTTTAATGAATAAAATGTATTGCTACTTTCTGTTGTCAAGAAATTCAGCTTCATAAATAATTTTGTATTTCCAGAGCAGAAAAGAGACTGTTTTCATAAAACTGATTCAATGAATTTTTTGGGGCTGCTGACTTGTCTTAGAAAGTAATACAAAGCATGTTTATAAATACTGGAACATTCAAATAAAATGAGATTGGCAAGTATTTTACTTAATTGTCCAGCTCTTCTGTGAATCGGTCATTCAGTCTCCGTATTGAGACAGCTCTGACAATATTCCTGAAGTCTAGCTGCCTGCCATGGAGGTGAAGGAGGAGATTCCATAAATGCACATTACAATTTCAGAGCTGGAGGCACAACTATAATTTCTGTCGGCATGAGAAGCAGGCGTGTTATCAAGTGTCTTGCAGTTGCCAGATGGAGGCAAATGTGATCCAGCTAGAGCTTGCTGCTGGTAGCACAAGTGCTGGAAGCCTTTGCTCTGTTTGACAAACATCACTCTTGTCTTCTATGTGCAACTGTGTTTCGGATCAGAGCTGCCAAGGTTTCTCAGCGCAGGCTCATCTTCAGACTGATGTTCCTCTCATCTCCGGAGCCCACGTTGGCTTTCTCTTTTTTTAAGTCTGTGTTTCAGAAGATTAAAGTTTCAAGAGCTAAATGGTGCATCTTAGATGAAAGGCAAACGCCGAACGTGACTGTCCTGCAGCTGCCATTGTGAAATTGTCCCTCTGATCTGCACGCAAGGGTTGTCTTTTCTAGCAGGTAAGTTACTAGCTCCTGCTAGACAGCTATCAGCAAACACGACACACCTGAGATGCTGTTATTCTGCCTTGGGGGTGATTATGTCTTTAGCTGATTTTTAATAAAGCGCCCTGTGTGAACTTTACCTGCATGTGATTTTAAGCTTTGAATGAAAAGCTCAGTTATTTTCAGGAACCAGTTGAGGATTATTTAGATTTCAGCTTCCACAGGGCAACAGTACAGGAAATGCACATCCAAATTTCTTTAGTTCTTTAGCTTAGCCTTAAAACATCTTCTTTCCATCAATTAGAAAGTTTCTATCGCAGACAATTAATTTTAGATACACTATATGTGAAACGAAGTTTCTTATCAACAAAAGATGCTATGGCTACCAGCAAGGCAGAAGTCTGTAGTAAAACTGTGAATTGCTCATAATTAAGGCAGGCTGAGATTTATTCTTAGTTGTCAAGTTCATTCTGTGGTGAGTTAGTCTTAGTCTTGTTCATTCTGTAATTCTTTTTTCTCTCCTCTGTGTACAATAGATGAAAAAAGTCTTTGAATCCTTAAGTGCTAATATTCTTTAATGTCTAGGTGCTAAAACAAAAATATCTTTTTTTCACTAGGCGTTTGGCTTTGTAGAGCTGTACAACCAAGCAAGTTGATCAAAAATATTTACCTTGGATCTTGCCTGCTAAAACATATGAGATCAAGCACAGCCTAGAGGCTCAGGCCCTGCTGAGATGCCCTGGGGCTCTGTTCTGCCTTTCTACCAGAACAAGTGAGTTGATGTATTGGGTTATCGAGCCATGGGGGGCATAGGCTGTCCAGGGCTTATGTTCTAATATATGGGAATGGTTAAAATTCATGTATGTTAATCAGGTGTAACTGTCATGCATCCTTATCAGCCATGCTGATGTGGAGAGCAGCAGAGAGCAAGGAGCCTGTTACCAATTCAGCCTGTCCTTGATGTTGGCTGCTAGGCGCCGTGCAGCCGCACACAGGCAGAGCCCACTCGGGTTGTGTTCATATTGTTGGAATAAGCAGATAATTGCTGTTTCCTTCATAGCTATTGTGGCGGCTGCAGACTGAAGCAATGGGGAGAGGTTTGTGGAATGTAGGGGGTAATTAAGCATCAGCATAAAAATAAAATTACTTGAGAGTTAAGAGCTCTGTGTTTGGCAATTTTGCATTTCGATGTAGGATCCTGCTACTCAGAGGGGTTTCCTGACCTTACGTGAACAAAGCAGCAGCTTTTCCCGCTGCAATGTCGTGCAGCACGTTTGTATTTCAGGGGTTCCTGCAGTGCCCGGGTGCCTCCCTGCCCTGGCAGACATCCCGCACCGGAGGGCTGCAGACAGCGCCATGCCGACTCTGCCTGCTTCTCTTCTTCCTCCTCGATGTAGTTCCTCACTCTGACTCCTTTAAGACACAGGAACCTGCTGTGGCTGGGAACACCCATGCGGCACCTATGCTGCAGCTCCGTGTGCTGGGAGCATCTACATGGCAGAAGTTCTAGCTGAGTTTGTTTAGCCTGAGAACGCGTGGGGGCTGCGGGAGCTGGTTGTGATTCCTCCCTAGCAGAACTGCCACATTATGTCAGTCTCTGCCACAGTCTGACTGTGCAGGGTGGTGGCAGCACGCTGCTGTTCCCGCCCGCGGCTGTGCAGCCTGATGTACAGACCTGTCACCACACAGGCAAGGTGACTGTGGCCGTGGCTGCTTGTAGGAGACCCTTCCTGATCCAGATCCTGGGCAGCAGCGCCTCCCTCTGACTCCAAAGAGTGTGGAAGAGGGGCTTACTCTCACTCTGTTACAATACAGAGGCTTTAACTACAGCTGCTAGCAGGGATTTGTAGTCACTGTGCATTGTAAATGAGCTTGGGGGCTTGCTCTGAACGATGATTCAAGTGGAAAATCTATTTACCATATGTAGGAGGCAAAGGCAAGAGAAAGCAGCAGCTGGGGCTCCCCGCAGGCGCTCTCTGTAGCTCCTGCTTGACACTGGGAAGACGGGGGGATCTCTCGCTTGCGCTGCCCTGCAGCTCCACCTGCTCCTGCCTTTTGGGAAGAGGCTTCGCTGCTGCAGCACGTCGTGAACACCGGCCTCCTCCTCGGTGCTGCGGGCAGCTGCAGGGGTGCTGGCAGGGCCGGAGGGGCTCCTTGCTGAGGTCTTTCTCTGCGTGGCCCCACAGAGCATCAATCCTCGTGGATTCAGAGAGTGCCTGAGCCTGCTCTGCACTGGACCTTGCATCAGTAGGCACAAGGGATAAAGTTCAGTTGCTCCTGTTAACCACCAGACCTCATTTTCCAGAGTGGAAAGCATTTTGCAGCTCTTGGATATGCTGGCCCTGTCCAGGTCACCAGGCTCAGTGAAGCAGCCTTATGAAACAGCAGATCTCAAAGCTCCTTGCAGATGTGTTTGGTCCTTTCCTGCCCCTCCTCTCCAAGAGCAGGTAGCGCTGCCCTTGCTCTCCCCTTGCTTCTGCTTGCAGCTGCATCAGGAGCACTGTAGCATAGAGGCAATGTCTGTCTGCAGGTGCTGCTCCTTCCTGGGAGGGTTTGGTAATAGCCTGGGGTGGCAAGAATTTTTTCAGCAGCGGTACCTTCCATAGCTGTTATTTTGCTGCTGTAAGACCGGTGCTTCTGGGGGTGCCTGCTATTTGTAACTCGCAAGGAAAACAGCCTTTCCTCTGCTTTGGGATCCAGCAGAAAGGGTTATTTCCCTGCAGATTGGAAGCCATTCATAAGATAGTGGCTTAGTCATGAATGCAATTAGAACATTTATCTAACTCATTATTGGAGTTAAGGGTAAATCAAAGAAATATTCAGTGTGTTCCTGTAATTATTCCCGATGATTTAGGGATTGTTTTCATCTCGGGTTTAGTGCAAATTTTATTTTGCTAGTATTATTAATAAAAGTCTTTTGCATAATCATAACGCTGTGGAGGATGCCCGTGGATTCACCCTGCTCCCAGGACGAGTGATGGGAGCTGAGGCCAAGCAGTGGAAGGAGGGGCTGCCAGGAGGCTCTGGCCAGGGCAGGCTGCCCTGCAGCCCTGAGCTGGCTTCGTCAGATGCTGCGTGAGGCTCGTGCAGCGGCGCCTGCACATTCGTCTTGGCTTTAACAAGTCATTGGTCTGTGAAGCAGAGCTGTGAGTTTTGGAAAGGTCATGAAAGTTGATTTCCCTGGTGGCAGTCAGAGCGTGGCCAGCAGGAGCTGCTGGAACAAGGGGAAGTTGTCGGTGTGCGTCGGGGCTGGTGCCTCTCTTCCACCCCATGCTGGGTAGGAACAGCAGTGTCTCTTGCTCTGCTGGTTACGTGCAGACAGCCTGTTTTCAGTCCTATCTTATGGCCAGACAGCAGCAAGATTAGCACTGAAGATAAGGACTTACTCCTTGCAGTCTATGAAAGGGCCAGGATTTGAACCAGGTGGCTCTAGTTGTGGTCCAGAGTATTCGCTTTGCAGAAGGAAGAAAGGAGGGGCATGCAGGTGCTTTGGAGTCATGCACACATAATAGGCCCTGTA